AGGACTTCGTACAGTATTCGCATCCTCTGTCGCTTCCCTCTTATTTCTTATACCGGTGGTTGCTGCGCCGATCGACGAACCAAAGTATTCTTCCAGGTAGTCGATATAACTTACCAGGGTGTTATACCTTTTTCAAATCCCCCATTTTCGCCATTTCACCAAGGTAATCTCTTCGTAATCATTTTCGAGGATCGTTTATGGGACGCCCGGTCATCGTAATTACCAAGCTTTCTTGAGCCATTCTACTTATTTCGTTCTATTGGTATTCCCCGATATTTTAAGATATCATTAAGATTGTATTAGATCTTTTTTTTTTTTTTAATAACGTTTATTTAAACCAAGGCACAATTTTAATACATTTGGGTATTCGCAATAAACTATGAATTTTGGTAATGATGTGTTAGGCAAAGGTACCGATACGCTACGGTACGACGTAGCCATGCCATATTATGTGTCGGCGTTTTACATTTTTCGTGTTTAATACAATCTTTGGATTTAAGCCGCCGGGCAGCGGAGCTTTTACGTGAATTTTGTTTTCATTTGATCTTTTCTGTTCTGAAAACTTGGTCGCAAAACAGGACGCTTCGGTAGTCTACTTTTTGGAGATTCTATCAGATCGGTACTCGGTTAATCACTCGTTTTCTATCGTATTGCTATTTACGAACGATTATATCGTTGGTCTATTTTTCACGTTTACGATGTTCCACCAGCTGCGTACTTACCTCGCTCGAAGGGCTGCTCGGTTCCATCCGAACGCAAAAATGGCGTGTATGTGGAGGAGACATCGAATTAACACTCGTATCGTGAACAACTAAATAGTTCGCCCGTCTGTCTTTGCGTAATTTCTGAATCGCGTTTAATTGAACGATAAAACTCGCTGATCTTCGAAGTACGTTTCCATTATTATTTCGTATAATCCACGTGCTAGTTGCGCGATGTTCAACAGGGTAACGTTAAAGGAAGAGGACGAGGTAACACGTACGCTTGTTTATGATTATACACATCACGATTTATTGACGAGCAATGGATCGTACACTTCATGTAACATGATTCTCAAAAACAATTTTAACAAAACATCGAAGTAAACGCTAGCTAATTAACGATAACAAACATTGCCGGTTACTATTCGTCGGCAAGATGTAAGGCGACGTTTTTAAACGCGCACAACCTCGCGATAATGACATGGATAATTAGATACTCGAACGATCAATGATATTAGATATATAAGTAGGTAGTAAGTAATATACGCGCTTATAGCCTGGGTTATTTCGCTGACTTAATCTACGGTAATTTTCGATTTTCTTCCTGTCGATTTTGACAAAACACAATACGCACGCCGCTTCGTTTACATGTTCCAGTCGCTTAAAAGTTCGATCATAACGCTCGGGTGGCGCGCAACGCTTGAAAGAAAAATCAGCAATCCTAGGACCGTTTTGTAAGCGACAACGAAAAAGTTTCGTAAAATGTTAAATCAAAGGTAGAAGATGGAGAACGAAGAAGGTTTGAAATATTTGAACAACTGTATTCTCAGTGATTATCGATGTTCTTTGTTCGATTACAATTCACAGCTTGTTTATTATGGAAATACTGTATTGCGTTATACGTTTAATATTTATGAGAATGACATTGATAATAACTGCGTCGATTACTTGTATACTATTTCATGGAGTTACCGTGGAAATATTTTCGAAGTACAACCGATTACGTTTATCGTTACAATCCCTACAGTTTCCAAACAAAGGTTTCGCGTAATCGCGACGAACGACAGACTTCGCGATGTTAAAATATAACTTGTTCCGTTTTCTCATTAATTTCGATAACTTGCTTTAAAATCTGAAACATTCGCATATAAGCTTTTCGATCACAAACACGCGATTTCGTTTCCCTTTTCCCTCTTCTTTTCTGACATCCTATGCTTACGATACGTCGTCTGTTTATTTTCTTCCGGGGGCGGCGGGAGGGGGGGGCACATTAGTTTCAAGAAATGTCCTCGAGATATTCCAAGTTGGAACGAATTCTTGATCCCTCGTCGTGGCGCAGCTATCTATTCTTCTGCGCGTTAAAGTCTTTCCGAACTGTAACTTTAGATACGATACATAACGGTTCGTGTTGTTAACAAGTACACGATCGTTGCTCCAAACAATGGGTTAATATTTCAAGTAGAACTTACGTAGGTATAGTCACATGGCAACTATTCAACTCTTGCAACAAATCAGATATTAAAATCTTCGCAGTCTTCGTGGGCTACGTTAATCGCTTTCGTAAACCATCGGTTCGAACGAACATTGTCTTACTAGTTGTTCAACGTGGGCATTTTATAATTGGCGGATCGATGGATAAAATTACGATCGATCGTGATGGTTGAACGTAACGTGATTCCGTTTAAAAAGGCCGTAGAAAAATAACATGTAAAAATCTGGGTCCCTTTTACTTCGCCGTAAATCCTAACGAACTGTGACTCTAATGTAATCCTCGTTTTCCTAAACTGGCAGTTCTTTTTTTTTTTTTTTTTTTTTTTTTTTTTTT